CCCCAAAACCCCAAAACCCCAAAACCCCAAAACCCCTTTTATTATTTTTAAAATAGAAAATAATATATAATTGATAAGCCACTATGAGTGATTACGATGACGACTTCGAAGAGTACAATGACACTATTAATGACCGTACTAGTAAAGGAAAGACTAAGAAAGCCCCAAAAGGTAATATTTAAGTGATTTTTTAACCAAATTTAGACAATAATGATTCCAGTTATGAAAATACATTTGCTAGAGACAAGACTTTAGGCATTAAACCGAAGGAATATAAACCAACTCATGTTAAGACAGTTCAGCCTCCATCTACAATAAAGAGTAAGCAATGGATTTTTGATACATAGGGAAATCTTCGAAAGGACTAGCTAAGCAAGGAGGGATTTATAGCTCCACTCCAAACCTAGGAAACGATCGTATGTCCGCAAAGAAGAGCCTTCTTGGAGATACTCACATCAGAACATCAGGGAAGCTACAAAATTTCGGACTGACTAAGAAAGCTCAACAGTCCATCAAGCCATCTAAAGGAGTGATGATCTCCCAACTTGAGAAGCTCATGGAAGATGCTAAAACACAAATTGAAGGTTTTCAAAAGCAACAAGAAAATGCAGAAAATAGTAATCTTGACGAAAGACTTGAACTCTCTTTGAAGGAGAATAAATATCTTCAAGATACATTACTAGGCATGAATTCGACTGTGAACCAACTTTTTAGCAGCCAGTTGAACAATATTAAGAGGTATCCTCAGACTGAACGGATCAAGTCTCCTCCAAAAAGTGCACAGATGAGGTATAGAACCAAAGAAGTTGAGAATGCTCAAAAAGCTCTTGACAACATGATGATTGAATATGAAAAACTCTCCCGAAGAATGGAGGTTGTCAAGGACCCTAATTATTTCTCAAATCTACATACTGAACTAGCGAATATCGACAAGCAGATGAAGGAACTTGAAAAGGAGAATAAAGATCTCAAGCAAGAGCAAAAGAGAAGAGAGAAGGAGATGGAAAAGATGATTGCTCAAGGTGCACCAGATACCATGTTCCAGATCAACGAACTTCAGAATAAAGTCACTATTACTAAGGACCAACTCAAAGAGGAGCAGAAGCAAAGCGCAGAGATTGATGCTCTCATTCAATCTGTAGAGGAAAAAGAGAAAGATCTTAAGGAGAAAGAGGAAAAACTTAGAGCTGAAGGTGCCTCTTTGGGTATCAATTTCGATACAACTGTTGATGAGACTAAGAAACAAATTAATAATGATCTTCAAAACAAAAGAGACACCTATCAAAAGCACTTAGGCATTGCAGAGAATGCTACTAAAGTCATGAAAAAGAAGCTCAAGACTATGTCTAAAGTCAACAAGACTAAGCTCAAAGAGCTCGAGAAGCAGAAAGAAGACTACGAAAGAGAACTTGAGCTCAAAACACAACAGGTTAAGGAAAAGAATGAAGAAATCGCTGAGCTTATGACGAAAAACAAGGATCTCCAAAAAGTCAGAAAGAAAGACTCAAACCAATATTTAGTCCATGAGAAGAACCAGAATGGGTATGATGCTGTTGAGAAAGCTATTCAAAATCAGAATGAAAAGGAAACTGCAGCTGCCATTCTCATCCAGAAATGGGTCAGAATTATGCTAGCTAGGCTCTATGTGAGAAAGCTAAGAATAGCACAGGATAGGAGAGAAGCGGAAAGAGAACTCGAGGAGGAATATGACAGTCAAGGAGAATCGATTATTCAGAAGAAACAAAATACTCCTAAGAGGTTAAATCAGCGCAAAGATGCCCCAGTTATTATAACTAAAAAGGAGTCATTTGAAAAGCCCATACTGCTAGATACCCCAATAAACCCTCCAAACAAAGACACCAAGAGGGAAAACCTCAAAAAGGTGATATCAAAGCCTCAGCTTGGTAAGAAAAAGATCACTAGCAAGCCTTTCTAGAATATCATTCAACATTTCTACACCTAATAGGGGTTTTGGGGTTTTGGGGTTTTGGGGTTTTGGGGTTTTGGGGTTTTGGGG